CACTGGATTGAACTACACCAACCAAAAGTATTAACATCAGAACGGCATTATATCCCAAGAATGGTTAGAGAGGCCATTGAAATACAGAAATATAAAAATTTCAATCGAGAAGACGGCTATAGGCTCTCTAATGCCTGGAATCCAGTGATTGGTTTAATTAAACAAAAACAAAAAACGCGATCAAAAAGTGTATTAAATGTACGTAAAGATACTGTGAGTACAGTTTGCCGAGATGAATATCGAGCGAGTTCCAGTAGTAGCAACAAACGAAGACGTGTGAAGGTAGACGCATATGTCTGCCCATAAAAAGATTTCATTTTCCATCTACCCGCTGCTCTTCAGTTTACCCGTGATCATGGTGGTTGAAACACTACCGAAATATCGGGAACTCAGCAAATAAATATAAAACGTGGTAAGATCCCGTGATTTTTACTAATTATACGTATAAATATTTATATTTGCCTTAATTGATTGCAAGTGTTGAAGTATCTGGGTAACAGTGTCCCATACATTTCGATGCGGATGAGTTGTTCGGAATACCTGCAGACTATTTTATTCTGGTATTCGAGCAGAGCCGTGAAGTAGTGTGGTTAAAATGTTTTTATTTGGATTGGATTTGGCTTTTGGATTATATAATTTATAAATAATAATTATTAGTGAGCATTCCAATGGATGCCGGTGGGAATGGCAATTGTTTTGCATAGGAAGGTTTTAAATGTAGATTAATTATTAGTTTGATATATTATGTTGGGGTCTACTATACATGTTGTGTAGTGCAAGGTGCCTATCTACTTGTCTGGCATATTTTTAACAATTTGTGCTTTGTGTTAAAATGAAGCGCGCATCTACACTTGCGACCTAGAAGGCAATCTTTTGGTTTGGTGAATTTAGTGTCTAATGAATTTGTTGAAGAAAAACAAAAACAACGTAGTCAAGAGGTTGAGATTCTTCTTCTTCTTATTATACCGACTATTATATTGCGAGGAAGTGTGTCGCTAGTTATGGTCGGATGTAAGGTACAGAAGTGCTGTTTCTGTATGCGGTGTGTGGTTTCTATAGTCAGTAACACTGGAACGAGAAAAATGATACCTAATTATGTATATAGAATTATTCTATTATTTTTACAGCAATGACAGTGATTAACTTTTAATAATAAGCTATAGTACAGTACAGTGGTGGTGAGTATGTCTTTATGGAATCATATTTAAGATTCTCTCTAATTTAAAAATACCAGTAAATTAGAAATTGCACAATAATGGTTACATGAAATAGAACTACTATTAAGTTCTGAATTATTGTACCTACTCGCCTAATGCATTATGCGGATGAGTGAAGGGGTTATTAAAGTGGAAAAAAAATGTTTTTTATATTCTTTGAAGTTTCGGCAACATGGAATAGAATATGAATATTCTTTATTTAAAGAAGCTTGAATAAATAATAGGAATAATAGCCATAATTGCATTAATGTACCGCATTTAGTAGCTGTGGAATGGAGTTAGAATTTGTTTTGTGATCACAGGCAGACAGCGCTGACAGCTGTTTTATATGAATGTGACGGGGATGTTGGAGCGATGGGGAGTCAATTTTAATTGACAGTTAATCCAGTTGCGGCTGGAGTTGTGTAGTGTCGCGATACGCGAAATAAGTGTATTAATGTGGTTTTGAGTTTTGAGATAGCTAATAGCCGAAATTGAATTTGAACTTAAAACTGAAAAAAATAGTTTTGAAAAGCTAATAGTAGAAATGATACCTGCTTCATTGTAGTAGTTGTAAAATATATACATGTATTTGTTTATCGTCATAGTACTGGTGTTGGTCGCTCTCTAAATACTTTGGCCGCATTGCAGGGTAGCTTAGACAAATTAGCGTGTTTTAACTTTTACATACGTACTACAGTGCAACCTCGATAAAACAAATCGAAAAAAAATATATATATATATATAGTATATCAAGTAATTCGTTGAACTGAGATTTATTATGTTGAAGGTACGTTGGTCTAAACTTCGTTATAAAAAGGTAAAAAACCTGTCTAAGCTATTTCAACTTGAATCTTTAACAATAGTGACGAGCAGCAGTGTTTACAAAATTTTACATTACTTTCCATCGAACAACAATTATTGTTCTACGAACAAAAGTACGTCGAAACATGTCCTGACATGAATCACATTTTATGAGATAAGAGATAAGTAGAGTTAAAGCTATTGGTGGGAACATTATATAAAGGTTTTGGGTTAAGAAAATTCCTTATAAAGAGGTGTTTTTCCAAAGAAAAAAAATAATGTCGCAATGTAAAGGTATATTTTACATCGATTCTTATGGAAAATCCAAGGGATTACAAAGAATTAGTTAAATCAAGGAAGTCGTTATATACGAGATATATTATTGTGAATGAGGTGCGTTATATTATGGCTGCACAATTATTATTATTATTATTACTAGATAATAATGTAAACCATGATGCATGATAGTAACAATTACTAACGATACATTATTGGAAAAAAAAATAGTTCTGAGGATACTATTAGTATTCCTATACTTTAGATTAGAATTATTTACTGGACATTCTTGTGGAGTAAATAAATCTGAAATATGTTTAATATTAGTAGTCATAAATGTATATACTGTGAAAATTAAATGGATAAGAGTGGCGTTTAATTGTGCTATAATATAAGATCAAACGAAATTCTAGAAGTGAAGTTCGATCATTATTATATGAGTCGCTTCATTCGAAGATATAATAACTAGGTAGTTTCCTTAACCTACAAGCAACGTGACGCACGGTTTAGAGAATGTATTTTTTTTTTTTGTCTACCCTACGATACCTTCTTTATTCTCTGTAGCACTAACGTTCTTCATTCCGTTTAGAGATCTTATTACTATTTCCTTAATCTTGCAAAAAAAAGGGTTGGGAGAGGAGGGCCTTTATATCTTCGAATGAAGCGACTCATATAATAATGATCGAACTTCACTTCTAGAAGTTCGTTTGATCTTATATTATATTTCGTCGCTTCATTCTTCAGATATAATAACTAGGTAGATTTTCAGAGAATAATATTTTTGCAAGAATAAATAAGAATATTGAGTGAGATGGAAATAAAAAAAAACACAAATAATTTACCTCGTGATTTTTTAATTATTAATCATTATAGACATAAGGTACATTATTATGTATATATAATAATATTGTATCCGAATATTTTAAATAAACATAATTATATTATTTCTAATAGTTATTAGTGAGATAAATGATCATAACTGATTACAAACCGATCTAGCAAACTCGCCATCATTTGTGTTCATAATATCTAATTTATAAAATTTAACAAATGTATGTGTGTTTGTCCATCCCGCGGCCCTGCGTATCGTGTCGATGTTTACACCGGCTGCACTGGCCGTGGATGTGGACGCATGACGCGTACTGTGTGCAGTAAATAGAGATACATCAACCCCACTATCTGACAACACTGACTTTATCCATCTACTAATAGTTTGCGAGGTGGCAGCTCTATAAGGTCTTTTGGTCGTTAATATTAGACGTTGATCATTACAACGTCGTAGATTTTTAGTATACGCTACGTAATCTAAGACCGCTGTGGCTGGACAAATTTTTAAATTCTCTTTAAAAAATGGTAAGAATAATATTGGCTGTTCTCGGCCTGGGGCCGACGTTTTTATAATATCCGTTATATTTATTCTAACACCATTATGTAGAGTTTGAATGTTATCTAAGCTTATTAATGATAATGTCTGAACTCTCTGTCCTGTACATAAAGCCAATAGTGTAACTAATTTTTTGTAAAATTACATAAATCAATATCAGTATGTGGGTACCATACTGATATATAGTCTAGCACAATCTGTGGGTTCCAGGTATGAGAATACTTGGGCTTACTGGGTTTAAGCTTATATGCTCCTTTAAGGAGACGTTTTATAGATTCGTCTGATCCGGTATTATTTGTATTATTATAGGTATTATTTGAGTGACGACTTAAGATCAGTTCCGTTAAGACTCGTTTTCGCTTTGCTCCACTTTTAAAAATCATATTGTATAATTATAAGTCACAATACACCGTTAAATATACATAATTATAAAGTTACTTCTATAACCAACTCATAATTAAAATCAGTTTAAGAATTCATTAAGTGACACGGAGGATATAAGTGAAATACAAAATTGTGTTTAACCGTTTACGGAATGCAGTAAGAACGTACGGAGACAAGTGACCTTTAACCGAACCGCGTGACCGTGCCATACCGGCAGTGCAACAGTGAATACAATTCGCATCGCATAGTGCAGTAACTCGACGAATCGAGCAATTAATCGAGAAACACAAACTTAAATCATACCGAAGTCGTGTGTCGCTTGTGGAAATTCTATTCAAAACTCTGAATACATGGAGTGTGAAAAGTGTAAGAAGCACTATGATATAATGTGTCTCAATTTAAAAAAAGACGAATGGAAGAAAACATTACAGAAGCAAAAAAACAAATGGCTGTGCCCTTTATGTTCAAGTTCAAGACCTAAAGGAGACAACTCAAATACGCCAATTAGACCTACTAACAACGCTCTCGAAGACATTCAGGAAGATCTTGAAAAAGTAAACACGACGCGTGGTTCCCGAATTAAGTCTACAAACATGGTAACCGATAGTAATGTGAGTTTGTCAGATTTAATGAATGAAATAAGGAAGCTGAGAGAAGAGGTGAGTGAGATACCTGCCTTACGAAAAGAACTCGTTGATGTGCGATCTCAAATACTTTCGATTGCCAACTCACTAAACGAAACCCTGGCTGATCACAAGAAAAAACTAAATGATGCCCAAGTTGAGATATCAAATTTGAAAGGTATAATACAGAATTCGCAAAGAGAGCTAGAAATTCTAGAACAAAACGCATTGTGTAACGAACTCGAGATAGTTGGTATACCGGAAAGTGGTGGCGAGGACTTGATGAGCACGATAATCACGACATCAAATAAACTGGGAGTGGACCTGAAGGAGACAGACGTATGCCATGTGACACGAGTTGGTGCCAGACTTGCACAAACTTCCAGTTCGGTAAAAGAAATAAAAGCGCGTCCCATATTAGTTAAAATGGTCCGACGCGCCAAGAAAGAAGAAATTATAAAGGCTAGTAAAGCTCATAAAAAACTTACAACAGAAGGAATAAAGGACGGACTGCCCAAACCGGTGTACATCAATGAGCGTCTCACTCGAAAGAATAAACAGTTATTTCGAGAAGCCAGACTACGCTCGAGGAAGTACAACTTTCAATTTTGCTGGGTTCGGAACGGCTTTATATATATCCGGCAGTGTGAAAAGAAGCCGGCATTTCGTATACAGTGCTTCGAAGATGTTGATGAAAAAATTGGCCCTGCACTTGACTTACATGTGTCCCTCTAATGGTGGAAAAATGCTTGTTAGTTCTGTATATATAATTGTAATAATATACTTTCAGTTATTTCATAACTTAAAATATCCTATAAGAAATACACTTTATCCTTCATTACTTTACATAATAACAGCTCATAACACTTCTTACACACATAAAACAAATCATACATCTTTCTCACACTATACAAAAAACGTTCAGAATCAGCATAAAATAATCCAAAACATATCACACTCCAGACAGTTCTCTCAGCATGTTTCAAAAATTTACTGGCTCTCAAGAGTAAATATAAATTTATTACAATTTAAAAAAATTAAACCAAAACGCCCGATCCACTTTTAGATATAGATAGTTTACTATCTATTAAATGTTTTACTCTTGAGAAACCTGAAAAATTCTCATCCTATTTAACATCTGAGTTAGATTTTAAAGTCCTTACCTTAAATATAAGAAGCATTCAGCATAACGTAGATGATTTCCTGGTGACTCTTAGCAGATTTAACTTACCGTTTGACGTACTAATTTTAACAGAATGTTGGATAAACGATAACACTATTATTCCTGAAATTCCGGGTTATCGAGCCTATGCAACAAAACATGGAATTAACAAAAGTAGTGGCATAACTACCTATGTTAGAAATATTTGGACCCCTACCGTTCATGAACCACAGTGTGACGAATGTAATTACATAGCCATTTCAATAGAGAATATATTTATATTAGGAATATATCGTTCTCCATCTTTTACAAATATCGACAAATTTTTGCTTTCTTTAAATAACATTTTGGTACAGACAAAAATATAAAAAAACTATCATCCTAGCTGGTGATACGAACATAGACATTCTCAATAACAATTTGACTCCAAATTTAATAGAATATACTTGTCTTATGGCAGAGCATCAACTTATTCCTGCGATAACTGAACCCACTCGCAATAAAGCATGTCTAGATCACATATACATAAAAAATCCATCGAGATCAGCCTTGGGATTGGTATGCAGGAGCAATATCACCGATCACGACATCTGCGTTGCCGGTCTTGCCACTTCATATATATCTCAAACCACTGACAAACAGTTACGACGTAAAATCAACACAGAAAGTTTGCAATCTGAACTTGCTGCAGCAGACTGGGGCGCCGTTTTGGATTGTCAGGATGTTGATCAGGCTGTTGGATGTTTCTCACATATCCTGGAGAATGCAATACAGAAAAATTCAGAACTTGTTGTTGTAAGAAGGTCTTGTAGAAACATAAAACCTTGGATTACACCAGGATTAATGAGATGTCAAAAAACACGAGACAAGTTACACATCCAAGCCAGGAGGAATCCCCTAGACCCTACAATACAAACAACCTACAGGCGTTATCGTAATTTCCTTACGGAACTATTAGTTAGAATCAAAAGGAAATATAATAGTGAACGCATCTGTATTAATAAAAACAATCCCAAGAAGCTCTGGTCAACAATCAAGGACATTTGTGACATTTCGCCTAATAGACAAAGCAACGCAAATGAACTTACAAAGTTAAACTCAGATTCAGTCCAATCCTTAAACATCACAAATAAATACTTCACAACAATAGGTGAAAACTTGGCTGTCAGAACTATGACTAAACTCAATGTAGAAGAATCAGATTTACTCTCAAAAGTGTCAGTTCTCAAATCACCTTCGACATCCCTGTTTATAGGACCCACCGATAAAATAGAGGTCGAATCACTTATTAAAGGGCTAAAAAATGATAGCGCTCCCGGGGATGATGGTTATAGCTCATCGTTGATCAAAAAGGTACATTATATTATTCTTGATCCGCTGGTCCATATATTCAATCTTAGCATTCTGAAAGGTAAATTTCCTGATCGATGGAAACACTCATTAGTCACTCCAATTTACAAAGACGGTAGTAAAAATATTCCTGCAAATTATAGACCAATCTCGCTCCTAAGCATTTTTTCTAAACTACTTGAAAAAATTATTAATAAACGTCTTGTAAATTATTTAGAAAAACACCAGATTATTTCGGAAAATCAGTTCGGTTTTAGAAAAGGTGCCTCTACAGAAAACGCCGTCTCCCGTCTAACAAATATCATCTCTACTTCTCTGGATCAAAAAGATTGCTGTATTGGAGTCTTTATTGACTTCACAAAAGCCTTTGACACGGTCTCACCTTCTATTCTGTTAAAGAAATTGGACTATATCGGGATCAGAGGCATTCCTCTAAACTGGTTTAGCAGTTATCTCACTGGTCGTTCTCAGTCTGTCAAAGTCGGCTACATTGCTAGTAATCCATTATCAATAAACCTAGGAGTACCCCAAGGAAGTATACTCGGCCCAACCCTGTTTACAATTTATATAAACGACCTTTTACAGCATCCATCATTTGAAATGAATATAACAGGATACGCTGACGACACAGCGATTCTCTTCAGAGGGTCATCTTGGGAAGAAACTCGTTCGCTTGCTGAAGAAGGCATGACACATCTTGTAGACTGGCTTCACCGAAATTTATTAACTCTAAACACAAACAAAACGACTTACCTGGCTTTCCACAAAACAAATGCATCTGCCCCCAGACAACTTCTTCCAATACCTATACACACATATCCGTGCAGAAATCAAACCAGAAATTGCAACTGTGAAACAATAAAAAGATCATATACGATAAAATACTTAGGAATAGTACTAGACGAAAATCTATCTTTTAAAAAACAGATATCTTGTCTATCTGCACGACTAAAAAAGATCATATATATAGTAAAATCTCTCAGACAATCAACTCCACTTGATGTCCTCAAGATGGTGTATATTTCCCTGTGTCAGTCAATTTTAATTTATTGTATAGCTGTCTGGGGTGGATCTAATAAGTATGTTTTTATTGAAATTGAGAGAGCACAACGGGCAGTCCTTAAAGTAATATTAAATAAACCTTTTAGGACTGCAACAGATATAATTTATGAAACAGCACAAGTGCTACGTGTACGTCAACTTTACATTTGGCGGGTTATATGCCTACAGCACAAAAAAGTAAGGACCATGAACGAATACGAAGCCTTGTTACAAAATCGTACTTTCAGAATTCCTCTACCCTCGATTCGCACCACATTTGCCAAGCGTTTGCCACTGTTTTCCCATCCGTACATATATAACTATGTAAATAAGAAATGCACAATTACAAAACTATCCATGCATCAAGTCAAAAAAACTACAAAATGCTGGCTGATGAAACTAAATTATGACGAAACAGAACAAATACTTCCACCTTACGGCTAACACACAGTTCTGCAAATTGAACACACACACACACACACACATATATTCATACATACACACTCTCATTCACACCAATGCTCACCTTTTCGATTATACATACATCCACAAATTTATTCCCTACATTTTACACACAAGTCCCATAGCTATTAATACAAAGGGTAAACATGTAAAATGAACACAATAATAAGTCACTCCAGTCTCTACAATACAGGCCTGCGAGCCTAGTGTAGAACTACAGTAAATTAAAATGTAAATGTGTATCATGAATAAATATTATTATTATTATTATTATTATTTGATAATAATAATGAGAGAGCCGATCTATGTGTTGAGTGTGCAATAACTAGCTCCTTTTTTAAACTCACGAGTTAAAAAAGTTAATGTGTTTTTAACTGAAGCATGAAAGTAATTTATATTATTGACCTGACAGAATTGCCACCAAAGTTTGTAACTTACACTATACTGTTTCTTTGTGTTGTCAGACAGCGATGCCAACATTAGATCTATTGCCTCGGAAGGAATATCCCGAGTCAGGAACGCCATCCTGAGAGAGTCGCTGCACCCAGCGTAAGCTGTTTGTGTAGGCGATGTGGGGTTTGATTCCTGGAATCGGATTTTAGAAAATTATCTTTAGGTGTAAAGTAAATAATTTTGGAGACTAAAAGGCTTTTTAATAGTGGGAACCACGGCTGTGCAGGCCAGTTAGGAAAGACTAAGATACCATGCCCCTTATCATTAATAATTTTATGTAGACACCTTAATATTAAACAAAAAGGTGGAAATGCATAAAAGAATTTGTCTTTCCAGGAAATTGTGAATGCATCGACACACAACGCATCTGGGTCTGGGAACCACGAAATATAAACATCGCATTTGGCGTTAGTACGAGAAGCGAATAGATCTATTTCTGGTTGGCCAAAATAACTGGTTATTGTTTGAAAGGTTTCTATCGATAGACCCCATTCGGTATCAGAATTTACTCTCCTTGATTCGATGTCAGCTTCTTTGTTTTCCTTAGTATTAATGTAAGAACCATATAACATAATATTTCGCTTCTCGCACCATTGCCATATTTGCCTCGACAAATCGTTAAGGTGGGGATATTGTATACCCCCCATTCGGTTAACGTAACTCAATGCGGTAGTGTTGTCAATTCGTAGCAAAATAGTACAATTAACGTTTTCCTTGGCTATAGTTTTTAGTGCAAAATAAACCGCTAGCAGTTCTAAGTAATTAATGTGACATTGTAATTCGTCCTTTTTCCAAGTCCCATGTACTCGCGTTTGGTTACAATACGCTCCCCAACCTGTTTTAGAGGCGTCTGTAAAAATTTCTAAAACATAGCTAGGTGCTTTTATATCATTAAATGTATGTTGTATATTTTCTTTCCACCAATTGAGATCATCATACACATTTATAGGAAAATTAATGACTGAGTCATAATCATTATTCTTTAACAACATGAGATATTTCTGTCTTTCTAATTGTTTTGTATATACCCAGCCGTATTTAACGGCTGGACAAGCTGCTACAAGGACGCCAATGAGTTGAGAAAATTCCCTAATGGTACATGTAACTACTGAATAATATTTTAATAATAATTGTGTTATTTTGATACGTTTTTCATCTGGTAATGAAATTGTTAAGTATACTGAATCAAATAAAAATCCTAAAAATCTGCCTTGTTTTCTAGGTACTAATGAGCTTTTTTCAAAGTTAATAACGAAACCAAGGCTAGATAGCAAATCTAGTGTGTTTTTGACATTATTTTTACACTCATCATAGTCAGACCCTATACAAAGACAATCATCGAGGTATATCACAGATTGATGACCGAGGTTTCGTAAAAATTTAACTACCTCCCTCATAATTTTTGTAAATATCCTAGGTGCTATTGAGAGGCCATATGGCATGGCATTAAATTTATAGGTGATTATCTGTGAATCTGTTATGGCCGGTAAATAAAATCCCAGGTTCACTTCACTGGTTTAATTTTCTTGATTGTTACAACAGTCTTGCTGACCCGTACTAAACTACTAGACGAATATATAATGTGGCAGGAATCATTATATCGCTCGCCGAGCTGGCTTAACGCCGCCACGTCACGTAAATGACGTGATCACTCGGTGGAGAGTAGGTCGCGCGGGAGCGCGCGAGTGGCGTCCGGTGGGCGCGCGTGGAGGGGGGCGAGGTCGCGCAGGTGCGCTTCGCGCCCGCTGTCCGCGCGCGAGAACATCGCGCGCGTTAACCGGACGACGAACTGCTCCACCGATGGGACCTTGAGGTCGCGGGCGATCACGTCATTACGGACGTACCGTCCGGCATTTGTGCACAGACGGAGGGCGGCGTTCTGTTGGACCTGCAGTCTCCGCCGCTGTGAGGCCGAGCACAGTGCGTACCATGCGGGGGCGGCATATGTGAGCCGCGAACGAATGTAGGTCTTATAAATGCCTACTTTCGTCCGCAGCTGCAGCCTGGATTGCAAGACCGGTCGCAGCATAGCGCGCGCAGCCTTGGCTTGGGTAACAGCCCGGTCCACCTGCGGCTTCATACGCAGCGACCGGTCGATTTCCACCCCTAGGTAACGCACTGTGCGCTCCCACTGGATGGGCTGGCCTCTCAGTAAGAGGGGCGGCGGGCATTTGCACCCGGGGCGGGTAAGCAGCGCCACCGTTTTACCCACGTTAACGGTGGTACGCCACTTATCCAGCCACTCGGGGAGCAGGTCCAACAGCCGCTGCATTTTGCGAGCGGCTGCGTAGGCTCGGCGAGACGACGTAAGAAAGGCACTGTCGTCGGCGAAAAGAGCGAGGACGACATCCCTCTCTCCCTCTCGGAGCTCATCCCTCAAGGTGGGGATGTCGTCTGTGTACGTCGCGTAGAGCGCTGGCGAAATGCAGCTGCCCTGCGGGACTCCGGCGGCAATTGGGCGTGTGGTAGAGTCACAGTTCTCGACCGAAACATAGAAGCTCCGGCCCGAGAGGAACGAGTCTACTACTCGCACGTATGCTGACGGCGTGTTGGTGTCGAGCAACTTCGACACCAAACCGTCGTGCCACACACGGTCGAACGCCTTCTCTATATCGAGAAATACGCCGACCGTGTAGTGGCCGCGGTTGTGCTCGACAGCCATATGGTGGAGCACGCGCGTCAGCTGCAAAGTCGTCGAGTGTCCGCCTCTGAAACCGAACTGCTCGTCGCGAGGCGACAGAGTCGGTCTCAAGCGGCGGAGCAGGAGGCGCTCAAACGACTTTGCTACGTGCGAGAGCAGAGTGATGGGCCGGTAGCTTCCCGGCAGGCGCTTGTCCTTGCCGGGTTTCGGGAGGACTATGACTCTACCCAACTTCCAGTTGGTAGGGAAGTGGCCGGTCCGGAGTATGCCGTTGTAGAGCCTCGCTAGACACGCTAGGGCTCTACGGGGCAGCTGTGCGAGCGCTGCGGTGCTGATCCCGTCCGCTCCGGGTGCTTTGCGCTTCGGCAGGCGGCTGACGAGCCGCCTTACCTCGCCGGGCGAAACGAAGCTCACTTCGTTTACGTCCGGCGACGGAGCGGTACGGAAATCGCATACGCGACGTACGACTCGCTCGTGGTGCTCGACGACAGTGCTGGGTGCGTCGGCGGCTATTGGATTGGCCGTGAATTGCCCCTCCAAGTGCTGTGCCAGGATTTCTGCCCGGTCTTGGGCTGCGTAACGACGTCTGCCCGTCTCGTCAAGCAACGGGCAGACGGGAGGTCGTGCATTGGTGAGCTGTCGATTGAGTTTGTGCAGGTCGGTATCGTGTTCGCCGGCCCGGGATATGACACCCTCCCAGGCGGCTCCACGCCAATCCCGCACTCCCTCCGACAGCTCTGCAGCCAAGCAGTTGAGCTCACGCTTGACCCGCGGGCAGCGGGTTCGGGCCCATAGGCGACGGAGGTTCTTTTTCCGGGCGAGTTTTTCGCGCAGATGGTGTGGCAATTCCTCTCGACGGCGAGAAGCCACGTTTATTGTGGTAGTTGCCGCCTCCACTGCGGTGCGAATTCGCTCCGTTATGAGTGTGGAGGCGGCTTCGACACCCGCTGGCGATGATAGTTCGCCGTCGAGGTGTAGATGCTCCAATTCTGCGCGAAAAACACGCCAATCCATCCGCCGCCTCGACGGTCTCGTCGGTGTGGTGGTGGTGGAGAGGTCAAGCGTGGCTAGAACTGGGAGGTGCTGCGTGTCAAGGTCGTACAGCACCTCCAGTAAGACCGGGCAAGGCACAGCCTGCACTAGGGCAATGTCCAGAACGTCTGGGCTATGTGTGGGATTTGTGGGTACGTGGGTTGGGTGCGCTGGGCCCAACACCTCGTACCCGTGGATCTGCGAATCCTGGAGGAGTCTTCGACCTATCGGCGAGCACAGACGGGAACCCCAAGCCGTGTGCTTCGCGTTTAGGTCGCCCATAAGCAGGGTGGGACTCCTCCCATCCAGAACGTTCCGGACATCGGAGGGGCTGAAATCCAGTCCCGGGGGACGGTAAGCTGCCAGGACCTTCAGTTCCGCGCCGTCGACGTTGATGCTGACTCCTATGGAGCGCATGACGCGGAACTCGGGGCGCTCTAACTCCACGTGGACTACGTCCCGACGGACTAGTACCGCCGTACCGCGGTACGCAAGGCCCGCCGGTGACGTTTCGTCGCGTCTATACACGTGGTAGTTAGGCACCCTCAACGTCTCCTTTTCTGTGAGCTTCGTTTCACCCAGGAGTATGATGTGCACATCCTGGGTGCGAGCTAGGAGACGGGACTTTATCCTTTATTCCCCGGGGTTCCAGTACACAATGCGCAGGCTAGTACCCGCCATTTGTGTACTGTTGGATTTTGGCCAATCCATTTAATGCCGCCGACTTAGTATCTGCGCCGGCCGCGAGCGTAGTAAGCAGCTCCGTCAACAGGCTAATAAGCATGTTCAGTGCTCTGTCGACGGGCGCTTGTGTGAAGGGGGTGGGTGCGGTGTATATCGTTCGCGCCTCTGGGTGTGCGGTCCGTGTGGGGGGCGCGGGAGGTGCGCGTCTTGCGTCCGCCTGTGGCGGCTCGAATGCCACTCTCGGCACGCTATGTGCCGGTGGCGCCGCCCGGCGGCGACGTGGCGCAACTCGTGGACCCTGTGTTGGGACGGCATGCGTGGGAAGGCCCCACCCTTCCGGTGCGATGTACGCATAGCTTGTAGGGGTGGGATCCGGTAAGAAGGGGATTGGAGTTGAGGCCGTAACTGGCCCATCACCGCGCCTCTTCTTGCCGCGTCTTCGGCGGCGGCGTCTTTTATTTTCACCGGTGTCGGTGCCGCGATGCGTCGGCTCGTTGGCCGGCGCCATTAGGTTGGCGCCGGCTGTTTCCTCGACCGTTATTACGGGAGGAGGGGCCTGGGCGACGTAGGTACGCGGCGCCGCGGTGGGTTTATTACGACGCTGTGTTTGCGCCACGGGCGTTTTTGTCGTCGCGGTAGGGACGGGGGGGCGGGGTTTGATGCCCCTCTGCCGTGCCTCCCTCTTATACACCGGGCATTTTCTGTCGTTGGCCGTATGTGCCTTGGCGCAGTTGGCGCATGTCGGTTTTTGGTCCCTCGGCCTGTCGCAGTTCGCCGCCGGGTGCTCCCCACCGCAGCGAACGCATTTCACAGGCCGGTGACAATTGACCGATGCATGGCCGAATGCCTGGCATCTGTGGCATTGTGGCAGCACCGATGCCGGCTTCCACGCCTCAACGACGACGCCCCGCATGTACAGGAGCTCATCAGTCGCGTACAAGCGTGTGAGCTCGTCCCTGTCCATGGGGTCGAGTTGGGCGTGGAAAATGCAGCCGGGGCGGCCGCGACGCGCGGGTATGCCCCGCACTAGCCGCACTCCGAACCCCTTCTCCTGCAGTGCCTCCGCAATCTTGTCATTGGGCGTGTCGGCTGGGAGTCCTCTTATCGCCACCTTAGTGGGCAGTTCGGAGGCCAGACTATAAAAGTACCAACTTATTGTTGGGTCCTTTTCGCTGGCCTCTACCAAATACCTTTGGACGGCACGGAATTCTTCGTCCGTCCTAGGTAGGAATCTGACCCCCGTGCCGTAGGGTCTTGCGTTGGGTGCCTCCCCCAGTACGCGCCTGAGCTGGTCGAAGTGGCGCGTCCAGTTAGGGAGGCGTTCTGCCACTATGGGGGGTATTTTCCTCGCCCTGTGGCGGGTTCAGCGCCTGCGTCGGCGTTCCTCGTCTGAGAGGGGAGGGGCGGAGCGAGGGCCGGGGCAATTGAGGTGGCAGGGGCTGGGGTGGCGGGGGCCGCGGTGGCGGGACCCGCCGCTACTGCCGCGAATGACGGCGGGGTTCGTCGTCGCGGCGAGGGGACGGGGGGGAGCAATGGCTCGGGCGATTGTGAAACCGCCTCGAGTGCCACATAAGAAGTGGCGTCATATCCACCCCTATCTAATGTGTAGGAACGGGGTAGTGGCGAGGGTGCTCGCGATGTCTCGGGCGACGACGCTGGTGACGGCGACGAGCATGCGTCACCGTAAAATCGCCTGTCTTCCCCTCCCTCCTCGCTCCCGCTATCTGGCGGGGGGGAGGGTGAGCGCGGAGGGGGTGAAGGCTTTCGCCGCACGGTACCCGACTGGGACGGTAGGGGTTGGTAGCCCTTGTCCACAAGCCGGATTCTCGGCGTCGGCGGCACCTTCACTAGGTCAAGGTCGCGGGGGGGGACTCCTCTACGTCCCTCCGTTTGTCGCCTCTAGCGGGCGAGGTCGGCGACGGCGGTGCGCGTCTTTTAGATGGGCCAGGTTGCGCGCATCTTTCCCCTCTGCCTGGTTCCCGGTCGGCGGCATCATTGCCGCTTCCCGCGAGGGCAGAGGGGGTGCCCTTGGATGCCGGGCGAGCGTGGAAGGTCCCCAGCTCAGTGGCGGGGACCAGCTTGGTCGGGTTCCTTAAATCCCGACGCACAACAGTTCGGGGAGCTCCCCTGTCAGGAGGTTTCCTGGGGGCTTTGCCCCTTTGCGACATCACGACACGAAAGGGTGATGTACTAGGAAAGGGGACTGGTGGGGTGGGAGAGGGTGGTGTGGGGGCTGGAACCCCACGACGAACCTACCGAAAGGTAGGGAATTCCGCCCTGAAAGGGCAGGTGATCGCACTGTAAGACAGTCGCAAGTGGATTGCAGCAACGAATTTGCGTCAACAAATTCGGTCTGCAATCCTAGCGCGTTCTCTCGCTAGACAAAGTACACTTTGTGTAGCTGGATTACGCACTGTATCGCTCTCAACAATTTGCGCAAGTGGGCACCAGTTGCGGGGCTCACTCTGGAGACTCGACGGCGAACCGGAGTCTCACAGAGGATCACACGACCAACGGTAAACTCAACAAGCAACAAACTGGAAAGCGACCTAATCTTCCATAGTCAGTCGAGGTCGTCCGCTGGTCCTTACGGACCGCCGGGTGCGGGCCTCGAGCATATGCTCTTTGCCCGGGCGTACTGCTGGGGTGTGCCACCCCAGCGTCGTTCGTTTACCGGCCGGCCTGCCGGCCGGCCGGAAGCCAGCTGCTTCCCAGCAGCCGGCTGAGGGAGTCGTGTGGGAGGACTATTTAAGTCGCTCGCCGAGCCGGCTTAACGCCGCCACGTTCCCACTGTATGGGCTGGCCTCTCAGTAAGAGGGGCGGCGGGCATTTGCACCCGGGGCGGGTAAGCAGCGCCACCGTTTTACCCACGTTAACGGTGGTACGCCACTTATCCAGCCACTCGGGGAGCAGGTCCAACAGCCGCTGCATTTTGCGAGCGGCTGCGTAGGCTCGGCGAGACGACGTAAGGAAGGCACTGTCGTCGGCGAAAAGAGCGAGGACGACATCCCTCTCTCCCTCTCGGAGCTCATCCCTCAAGGTGGGGATGTCGTCTTTGTACGTCGCGTAGAGCGCTGGCGAAATGCAGCTGCCCTGCGGGACTCCGGCGGCAATTGGGCGTGTGGTAGAGTCACAGTTCTCGACCGAAACATAGAAGCTCCGGCCCGAGAGGAACGAGTCCACTACTCGCACGTATGCTGACGGCGTGTTGGTGTCGAGCAACTTTGACACCAAACCGTCGTGCCACACACGGTCGAACGCCTTCTCTATATCGAGAAATACGCCGACCGTGTAGTGGCCGCGGTTGTGCTCGACAGCCATATGGTGGAGCACGCGCGTCAGCTGCAAAGTCGTCGAGTGTCCGCCTCTGAAACCGAACTGCTCGTCGCGAGGCGACAGAGTCGGTCTCAGGCGGCGGAGCAGGAGGCGCTCGAACGACTTTGCTACGTGCGAGAGCAGAGTGATGGGCCGGTAGCTTGCCGGCAGGCGCTTGTCCTTGCCGGGTTTCGGGAGGACTATGACTCTACCCAACTTCCAGTTGGTAGGGAAGTGGCCGGTCCGGAGTATACCGTTGTAGAGCCTAGCTAAACACGCTAGGGCTCTACGGGGCAGCTGTGCGAGCGCTGCGGTGCTGATCCCGTCCGCTCCGGGCGCTTTGCGCTTCGGCAGGCGGCTGACGAGCCGCCTTACCTCGCCGGGCGAAACGAAGCTCACTTCGTTTACGTCCGGCGACGGAGCGGTACGGAAATCGCATACGCGACGTACGACTCGCTCGTGGTGCTCGACGACAGTGCTGGGTGCGTCGGCGGCGATTGGATTGGCCGTGAATTGCCCCTCCAAGTGCTGTGCCAGGATTTCTGCCCGGTCTTGGGCTGCGTAACGACGTCTGCCCGTCTCGTCAAGCAACGGGCAGACGGGGGTCGTGCATTGGTGAGCTGTCGATTGAGTTTGTGCAGGTCGGTATCGTGTTCGCCAGCCCGGGATATGACACCATCCCAGGCGGCTCCACGCCAATCCCGCACTCCCTCCGACAGCTCTGCAGCCAAGCAGTTGAGCTCACGCTTGACCCGTGGGCAACGGGTTCGGGCCCATAGGCGACGGAGATTCTTTTTCCGGGCGAGTTTTTCGCGCAGATGGTGTGGCAATTCCTCTCGACGGCGAGAAGCCACGTTTATTGTGGTAGTTGCCGCCTCCACTGCGGTGCGGATTCGCTCCGTTATGAGTGTGGAGGCGGCTTCGACACCCGCTGGCGATGATAGTTCGCCGTCGAGGTGTAGATGCTCCAATTCTGCGCGAAAAACACGCCAATCCATCCGCCGCCTCGACGGTCTCGTCGGTGTGGTGGTGGTGGAGAGGTCAAGCGTGGCTAGAACTGGGAGGTGCTGTGTGTCAAGGTCGTACAGCACCTCCAGTAAGACCGGGCAAGGCACAGCCTGCACTAGGGCAATGTCCAGAACGTCTGGGCTATGTGTGGGATTTGAGGGTACGTGGGTTGGGTGCGCTGGGCCCAACACCTCGTACCCGTGGATCTGCGAATCCTGGAGGAGTCTTCGACCTATCGGCGAGCACAGACGGGAACCCCAAGCCGTGTGCTTCGCGTTTAGGTCGCCCATAAGCAGGGTGGGACTCCTCCCATCCAGAACGTTCCGGACATCGGAGGGGCTGAATTCCAGTCCCGGGGGACGGTAAGCTGCCAGGACCTTCAGTTCCGCGCCGTCGACGTTGATGCTGACTCCTATGGAGCGCATGACGCGGAACTCGGGGCGCTCTAACTCCACGTGGACTACGTCCCGACGGACTAGTACCGCCGTACCGCGGTACGCAATGCCCGCCGGTGACGTTTCGTCGCGTCTATACACGTGGTAGTTAGGCACCCTCAACGTCTCCTTTTCTGTGAGCTTCGTTTCACCCAGGAGTATGATGTGCACATCCTGGGTGCGAGCTAGGAGACGGAGGTCCTGGACTTTATCCTTTATTCCCCCGGGGTTCCAGTACACAATGCGCAGGCTAGTACCCGCCATTTGTGTACTGTTGGATTTTGGCCAATCCATTTAATGCCGCCGACTTAGTATCTGCGCCGGCCGCGAGCGTAGTAAGCAGCTCCGTCAACAGGCTAATAAGCATGTTCAGTGCTCTGTCGACGGGCGCTTGTGTGAAGGGGCGGGCGCGGCGCGTGCCGAACGCGGCGCGGGGTATGCGGTGTATGTGGGAGGCGCGGGAGGTGCGCGTCTTACGTCCGCCAAAAGCGGCTTGAAAGCCACTCTCGGCACATTGTGTGCCGGTGGCGCCGCTTGGCGGCGACGTGGCGCTGCACGCGGGCCCTGATTTGGGACGGCATGCATGGGAAGGGAGGGGGGTGCGTTGTACGCAAATATTGGGGTGGGATCAGGTAGGAAGGGGATTGGGGTTGATGCCGTCACGGGCTCATCTCCGCGCCTCTTCTTGCCGCGTCTTCGGCGGCGGCGCTTTTTAATTGCACCGGCGTCGGCGCCTCGTTGCGTCGGTTCGTTAGCCGGCGCCATTAGGTTGGCGCCAGCGGTTTCCTCGACCGTTATTACGGGAGGGGGAGCCTGGGCGACGTATGTACGAGGCGCCGCGGTGGGATTATTGCGCCGCCGTTGCTGCGCCTTGGGCGCCGTCGACGACGCAGTGGGGACGGGGGGACGGGGTTTGATTCCCCTCTGCCGGGCCTCTCTTTTATACACCGGGCACTTCCGGTCGTTGGCGGTGTGAGGTTTTGCGCAATTGGCACATGTCGGCTTTTGGTCACGCGGCCTGTCGCAGTTCGCCGCCGGGTGCTCCCCACCACAGCGAACGCATTTTACAGGCCGGTGACAATTGGCCGATGCATGGCCGAATGCCTGGCATCTGTGGCATTGTGGCAGCACCGATGCCGGCTTCCACGCCTCAACCACGACGCCCCGCATGTACAGGAGCTCGTCAGTCGCGTACAAGCGTGTGAGCTCGTCCCTGTCCATGGGGTCGAGTTGGGCGTGGAAAATGCAGCCGGGGCGGCCGCGACGCGCGGGTATGCCCGCACTAGCCGCACTCCGAACCCCTTCTCCTGCAGTGCCTCCACTATCCTCTCATTGGGGGTGTCGGCGGGGAGGCCCCGTATCGCCACCTTGGTGGGCAGTTCGGAGGCCAGACTATAAAAGTACCAACTTATTGTTGGGTCCTTTTCGCTGGCCTCTATCAAATACCTTTGGACGGCACGGAATTCTTCGTCCGTCCTAGGCAGGAATCTAACCCCAGTGCCGTAGGGTCTTGCGTTGGGTGCCTCCCCCAGTACGCGCCTGAGCTGGTCGAAGTGGCGCGTCCAGTTAGGGAGGCGTTCTACCACTATGGGGGGGTATTTGCCTCGCCCTGTGGCGGGTTCTACGCCCGTATCGGCGACCTTACCCTGTGAGGGCATTTGCGGGGCTGGAGCCGTGGTGGCGGGGGTTGGGGTGGCGGGGCCTGCCACTACTGCCGCAAAGGACGGCGGGGTTCGTCGTCGCGGCGAGGGGCCGGGGGGGAGCATCGGCTCGGGCGATTGTGGCACCGGTTCGAGTGCCGCATATGACGTGGCGTCATACTCGCCCCTATCTAGCGTATAGGAGCGAGGTAGCGGCGAGGGCACACGCGAGGGTGCTGGCGAAGGCTCAGGCGAGGTCGCAGGCGACGCATGTACGTCGCCGTAAAAACGCCTGTCTCCCCCTTCCTCCTCGCTCCCGCTATCCGGCGGGGGGAGGGTGAGCGCGGAGGGGGTGAGGGCTTTCGCCGCACGGTACCCGACTGGGACGGTAGGGGTTGGTAGCCCTTGTCCACAAGCCGGATTCTCGGCGTCGGCGGCACCTTCACTAGGTCAAGGTCGCGGGGGGGACTCCTCTACGTCCCTCCGTTTGTCGCCTCTAGCGGGCGAGGTCGGCGACGGCGGTGCGCGTCTTTTAGATGGGCCAGGTTGCGCGCATCTTTCCCCTCTGCCTGGTTCCCGGTCGGCGGCATCATTGCCGCTTCCCGCGAGGGCAGAGGGGGTGCCCTTGGATGCCGGGCGAGCGTGGAAGGTCCCCAGCTCAGTGGCGGGGACCAGCTTGGTCGGGTTCCTTAGATCCCGACGCACAACAGTTCGGGGAGCTCCCCTGTCAGGAGGTTTCCTGGGGGCTTTGCCCCTTTGCGACATCACGACACGATAGGGTGATGTACTAGGAAAGGGACTGGAGGGGTGGAAGAGGGTGGTGTGGGGGCTGGAACCCCACGACGAACCTACCGAAAAGTAGGGAATTCGCCCTGAAAGGGCAGGTAATCGCACTGTAAGACAGTCGCAAGTGGATTGCAGCAACGAATTTGCGTCAACAAATTCGGTCTACAATCCTACCGCGTTCTCTCGCTAGACAAAGTACACTTTGTGTAGCTGGATTACGCACTGTATCGCTCTCAACAATTTGCGCAAGTGGGCACCAGTTGCGGGGCTCACTCTGGAGACTCGACGGCGAACCGGAATCTCACAGAGGATCACACGACCAACGGTAAACTCAACAAGCAACAAATTGGAAAGCGACTAATAATTTTTCATAGTCAGTCGAGGTCGTCCGCTGGTCCTTACGGACCGCCGGGTGCGGGCCTCGAGCATAGGCTCTTTGCCCGGGCGTACTGCTGGGGTGTGCCACCCCAGCGTCGTTCGTTTACCGGCCGGCCTGCCGGCCGGCCGGAAGCCGGCTGCTTCCCAGCAGCCGGCTGAGGAAGTCATGTGGGAGGACTGTTTTAAAGTCGCTCGCCGAGCCGGCTTAACGCCGCCACGTCACGTAAATGACGTGATCACTCGGTGGAGAGTAAGTCGCGCGGGAGCGCGCGAGTGGCGTCCGGTGGGCGCGCGTGGAGAGGGGCGAGGTCGCGCAGGTGCGCTTCGCGCCCGCTGTCCGCTCGCGAGAACATCGCGCGCGTCAACCGGACGACGAACTGCTCCACCGATGGGACCTTGAGGTCGCGGGCGATCACGTCATTACGGACGTACCGTCCGGCATTTGTGCACAGACGGAGGGCGGCGTTTTGTTGGACCTGCAGTCTCCGCCGCTGTGAGGCCGAGCACAGTGCGTACCATGCGGGGGCGGCATATGTGAGCCGCGAACGAATGTAGGTCTTATAAATGCCTACTTTCGTCCGCAGCTGCAGCCTGGATTGCAAGACCGGTCGCAGCATAGCGCGCGCAGCCTTGGCTTGGGTAACCGCCCGGTCTACCTGCGGCGTCATACGCAGCGACCGGTCGATTTCCACCCCTAGGTAACGCACTGTGCGCTCCCACTGGATGGGCTGGCCTCTCAGTAAGAGGGGCGGCGGGCATTTGCACCCGGGGCGGGTAAGCAGCGCCACCGTTTTACCCACGTTAACGGTGGTACGCCACTTATCCAGCCACTCGGGGAGCAGGTCCAACAGCCGCTGCATTTTGCGAGCGGCTGCGTAGGCTCGGCGAGACGACGTAAGAAAGGCACTGTCGTCGGCGAAAAGAGCGAGGACGACATCCCTCTCTCCCTCTCGGAGCTCATCCCTCAAGGTGGGGATGTCGTCTGTGTACGTCGCGTAGAGCGCTGGCGAAATGCAGCTGCCCTGCGGGACTCCGGCGGCAATTGGGCGTGTGGTAGAGTCACAGTTCTCGACCGAAACATAGAAGCTCCGGCCCGAGAGGAACGAGTCCACTACTCGCACGTATGCTGACGGCGTGTTGGTGTCGAGCAACTTCGACACCAAACCGTCGTGCCACACACGGTCGAACGCCTTCTCTATATCGAGAAATACGCCGACCGTGTAGTGGCCGCGGTTGTGCTCGACAGCCATATGGTGGAGCACGCGCGTCAGCTGCAAAGTCGTCGAGTGTCCGCCTCTGAAACCGAACTGCTCGTCGCGAGGCGACAGAGTCGGTCTCAGGCGGCGGAGCAGGAGGCGCTCGAACGACTTCGCTACGTGCGAGAGCAGAGTGATGGGCCGGTAGCTTGCCGGCAGGCGCTTGTCCTTGCCGGGTTTCGGGAGGACTATGACTCTACCCAACTTCCAGTTGGTAGGGAAGTGGCCGGTCCGGAGTATGCCGTTGTAGAGCCTCGCTAGACACGCTAGGGCTCTACGGGGCAGCTGTGCGAGCGCTGCGGTGCTGATCCCGTCCGCTCCGGGCGCTTTGCGCTTCGGCAGGCGGCTGACGAGCCGCCTTACCTCGCCGGGCGAAACGAAGCTCACTTCGTTTACGTCCGGCGACGGAGCGGTACGGAAATCGCATACGCGACGTACGACTCGCTCGTGGTGCTCGACGACAGTGCTGGGTGCGTCGGCGGCTATTGGATTGGCCGTGAATTGCCCCTCCAAGTGCTGTGCCAGGATTTCTGCCCGGTCTTGGGCTGCGTAACGACGTCTGCCCGTCTCGTCAAGCAACGGGCAGACGGGGGGTCGTGCATTGGTGAGCTGTCGATTGAGTTTGTGCAGGTCGGTATCGTGTTCGCCGGCCCGGGATATGACACCCTCCCAGGCGGCCCCACGCCAATCCCGCACTCCCTCCGACAGCTCTGCAGCCAGGCAGTTGAGCTCACGCTTGACCCGCGGGCAGCGGGTTCGGGCCCATAGGCGACGGAGGTTCTTTTTCCGGGCGAGTTTTTCGCGCAGATGGTGTGGCAATTCCTCTCGACGGCGAGAAGCCACGTTTATTGTGGTAGTTGCCGCCTCCACTGCGGTGCGGATTCGCTCCGTTATGAGTGTGGAGGCGGCTTCGACACCCGCTGGCGATGATAGTTCGCCGTCGAGGTGTAGATGCTCCAATTCTGCGCGAAAAACACGCCAATCCATCCGCCGCCTCGACGGTCTCGTCGGTGTGGTGGTGGTGGAGAGGTCAAGCGTGGCTAGAACTGGGAGGTGCTGTGTGTCTAGATCATACAGCACCTCCAGTAAGACCGGGCAAGGCACAGCCTGCACTAGGGCAATGTCCAGAACGTCTGGGCTATGTGTGGGATTTGAGGGTACGTGGGTTGGGTGCGCTGGGCCCAACACCTCGTACCCGTGGATCTGCGAATCCTGGAGGAGTCTTCGACCTATCGGCGAGCACAGACGGGAACCCCAAGCCGTGTGCTTCGCGTTTAGGTCGCCCATAAGTAGGGTGGGACTCCTCCCATCCAGAACGTTCCGGACATCGGAGGGGCTGAAATCCAGTCCCGGGGGACGGTAAGCTGCCAGGACCTTCAGTTCCGCGCCGTCGACGTTGATGCTGACTCCTATGGAGCGCATGACGCGGAACTCGGGGCGCTCTAACTCCACGTGGACTACGTCCCGACGGACTAGTACCGCCGTACCGCGGTACGCAATGCCCGCCGGTGACGTTTCGTCGCGTCTATACACGTGGTAGTTAGGCACCCTCAACGTCTCCTTTTCTGTGAGCTTCGTTTCACCCAGGAGTATGATGTGCACATCCTGGGTGCGAGCTAGGAGACGGAGGTCCTGGACTTTATCCTTTATTCCCCCGGGGTTCCAGTACACAATGCGCAGGCTAGTACCCGCCATTTGTGTACTGTTGGATTTTGGCCAATCCATTTAATGCCGCCGACTTAGTATCTGCGCCGGCCGCGAGCGTAGTAAGCAGCTCCGTCAACAGGCTAATAAGCATGTTCAGTGCTCTGTCGACGGGCGCTTGTGTGAAGGGCGCGGGCGCGGCGTGTGCCGAACGCGGCGCGGGGTGCGGTGTGGGAGGCGCAGGAGGTGCGCGTCTTACGTCCGCCAGAAGCGGCTTGAAAGCCACTCTCGGCACATTGTGTGCCGGTGGCGCCGCCTGGCGGCGACGTGGCGCTGCACGCGGGCCCTGATTTGGGACGGCATACATGGGAAGGGTGGGGGGTGCGTTGTACGCAAATATTGGGGTGGGATCAGGTAGGAAGGGGATTGGGGTTGATGCCGTCACGGGCTCATCTCCGCGCCTCTTCTTGCCGCGTCTTCGGCGGCGGCGCTTTTTAGTGGTAGTACCGGCGTCGGCGCCTCGTTGCGTCGGTTCGTTAGCCGGCGCCATTAGGTTGGCGCCAGCGGTTTCCTCGACCGTTATTACGGGAGGGGGAGCCTGGGCGACGTATGTACGAGGCGCCGCGGTGGGATTGTTGCGCCGCCGTTGCTGCGCTGTGGGCGCCGTCGACGTCGCAGTGGGGACGGGGGGACGGGGTTTGATTCCCCTCTGCCGGGCCTCTCTTTTATACACCGGGCACTTCCGGTCGTTGGCGGTGTGCGGCTTTGCGCAGTTGGCACAGGTCGGCTTTTGGTCACGCGGCCTGTCGCAGTTCGCCGCCGGGTGCTCCCCACCACAGCGAACGCATTTGACGGGCCGGTGACAATTGGCCGACGCATGGCCGAATGCCTGGCATCTGTGGCACTGAGCTAACACAGATGCCGGCTTCCACGCTTCAACGACGACGCCACGCATGTACAGGAGCTCGTCCACCGCATATAAGCGTGCGAGCTCATCCTTGTCCATGGGGTCGAGTTGAGCGTGGAAGATACAGCCGGGACGACCGCGACGGGCAGGAATACCCCGCACCATTCGCACTCCGAATCCCTTATCCTGTAGGGCATCCACTCTCCTCTCATTAGGGGTGTCGGCGGGGAGGCCCCGTATCGCCACCTTGGTGGGCAGTTCCGAGGCCAGACTATAGAAGTACCAACTTATAGTTGGGTCCTTCTCGCTGGCCTCTATGAGGTATCTCTGGACGGCTCGGAATTCGTCGTCCGTCCTTGGCAGGAATCTGACCCCACTGCCGAAGGGTCGTGCATTTGGAGCCTCCCCCAGGACGCGCCTAAGCTGCTCGAAGTGGCGCGTCCAATTTGGGAGGCGTTCTGCCACTATGGGGGGGTATTTTCCTCGCCCTGTGGCGGGTTCAGCGCCTGCGTCGGCGTTCCTCGTCTGAGAGGGGAGGGGCGGAGCGAGTGGCGGGGCACCCGAGGTGGCAGGGGCTGGGGTGGCGGGGGCCGAGGTGGCGGGACCCGCCGCTACTGCCGCGAATGACGGCGGGGTTCGTCGTCGCGGCGAGGGGACGGGGGGGAGCATCGGCTCGGGCGATTGTGGCACTGATTCGAGTGCCGCATATGACGTGGCGTCATACTCGCCCCTATCTAGCGTATAGGAGCGAGGTAGCGGCGAGGGCACACGCGAGGGTGCTGGCGAAGGCTCAGGCGAGGTCGCAGGCGACACATGTACGTCGCCGTAAAAACGCCTGTCTTCCCCTTCCTCCTCGCTCCCGCTATCTGGCGGGGGGGAGGGTGAGCGCGGAGGGGGTGAGGGCTTTCGCCGCACGGTACCCGACTGGGACGGTAGGGGTTGGTAGCCCTTGTCCACGAGCCGGATTCTCGGCGTCGGCGGCACCTTCACTAGGTCGAGGTCGCGGGGGGGGGACTCCTCTACGTCCCTCCGTTTGTCGCCTCTAGCGGGCGAGGTCGGCGACGGCGGTGCGCGTCTTTTAGACGGGCCGGGTTGTGCGCATCTTTCCCCTCTGCCTGGTTCCCGGTCAGCGGCATCATTGCCGCTTCCCGCGAGGGCAGAGGGGGTGCCCTTGGATGCCGGGCGAGCGTGGAAGGTCCCCAGCTCAGTGGCGGGGACCAGCTTGGTCGGGTTCCTCAGATCCCGACGCACAACTGTTCGGGGAGCTCCCCTGTCAGGAGGTTTCCTGGGGGCTTTGCCCCTTTGCGACATCACGACACGAAAGGGGACTGGAGGGGTGGAAGAGGGTGATGTGGGGGCTGGAACCCCACGACGAACCTACCGAAAGGTAGGGAATTCCGCCCTGAAAGGGCAGGTGATCGCACTGTAAGACAGTCGCAAGTGGATTGCAGCAACGAATTTGCGTCAACAAATTCGGTCTACAATCCTAGCGCGTTCTCTCGCTAGACAAAGTACACTTTGTGTAGCTGGATTACGCACTGTATCGCTCTCAACAATTTGCGCAAGTGGGCACCAGTTGCGGGGCTCACTCTGGAGACTCGACGGCGAACCGGAATCTCACAGAGGATCACACGACCAACGGTAAACTCAGCAAGCAACAAATTGGAAAGCGACTCAATCTTCCATACAAATTTCGTTGGTTACGTATTCCGGAGGCAATACCTTATCGTGAGCTCCGTGTTTTTAGCTCGATTCTAAAGTTAATTTTCATTATGACTTTTGGAGTTTTTCGATGTTATTACCTCTGTAACACGTTTTCCCCCGTATAATTCTTATTTACATATGAACTTTGCATAATTCTCTATCTAAAAAGTACACATACATAAACATCACAACAGTATTTCTTATAAATACAAGGTAAATTATCTTTGACTTACATCGATTTTCACATTTAACAATAGTGAAACACTACAACTATAACAGGAACATTACTTATATCTAGTTCGTTATAGTTATATTAACATGACTAAACGCTGTTTACATACATTATTACTCGTTTTTCATACCGTTACATTTACGTTATTATAAACTTATCTCTATAATATTACGCGTTGTACTCTATATTTACATTATTATTAATCATAGTTTATGTTATTCCACGCTGTCCTCTACAGAATCAATCCCTTCAAATTGGAAACGTAAAAATTTACGAAATTGGATATTTACCGGAACCAATAAATACGCTTCTGTGTTAAGATCTATAGTCGCTAGATAACAATCTTTCGATATTAACTTAGAAGCTGTCCTGTAGTCCTCCATATTACAGTGTGACTTGACTACATATTTGTTTAAGGACTTAAGGTTTAAAATAAATCTTTTTCCCCCATTAGGCTTTGGAGCTAAAAATATTTTAGATAAAAATTGGTCATCTGAAGAGTGACATATTGACACGGCACCTAAATTTGTGAGATTATCTATAGCTAATTTCATATCTTGTTTTTCTGAATCTGGCCAAGACGAAATGGGTGCATTTAATTGAGTAACAGTTTTCTCGAAGGGAATATCTATGCCTTCGCTTATCCATTTAAGGACTAAACTATTAGAAGTTATTTTACGCCATTGACTATAATAAAATTTTAGCCTACCGGCATGTACCTGATTTATACTCGGCGAGGTACTCCTCGAGTCTTGGATGGCAGTGGTTTCAATTGAGGACCTCCGGGTTGAACTGGTGGCCGTTGACTTGTCCGCCGTAGTCCTCCGCGCCCCCCCCTGTTCGACGAGTAACGAGGAGGGCCCTGCCAGTTTCCCTGGTTATTAGGCCGAGTTGATGGTATTTGTGTTTGCAGTGGTGGGGCTTTTGGGGCGTTTGGGGCCTTCTTTATATGTTGGCTTTGTTTAGCAATTGCTTTGGACGCCTTAATTTTCTCAGATAATTTACTGCCAAATAGTAAATCATCTCTCTCTGAGGCTTGTATTAATTGTAAAAATGACTTGTCCAGACCAGGAGATATAAATTTTATTCTACTCTCTGTATTTTGAAAATGAAGATCGGACAAGATATATATACCATCGCTAATGAATTTAATTGCGTCAACCTTATTACTGGTTTCGGACAACAATATATTGAGTCCTCTATTTATGGCTGTGATACCAACTCCTAATTGTTGTTGGGATGCCAAAATTTTCTTATCCCGGAACCTACCAGTTTCGGGTAAAGCGGCTAAAATTTCCGGATTTAATGTTGGCGCTTTTAAAAGGGGACAATTTTCAGGAATAAGGTAATCTTTAATTAATTTCTCGCGAACATCTTTACTTAACCCCTTTTTTAATAATGGTGTCCAAATTTTTGCTAAACAATCGTGTATTTTTTCCCCGTAATCCGGGGAGTCATTAGTAATCTCCCCTAAGGCTATTAAAATATCTGGATCAACCTCCTGTATAGAGCAATTGGCTTGTATTGCTTCCGAGGATTTCTCCGGTTCAGCCTCCGTTGATATGACGGTGGGTGGTTGCGGTTTGATCGAATCCGCAGGATATTCTTTATCCGGCTCCACCACCAACGGAAATATTTCCACTGGCTCTGGTTCTTCCTCACAGGGAGATTCAACCATCGGGAATGACTCATCCTCTGGATCTGTCATTAAAACCAGACAAGTATTAATTATGTATTATTATAGAAATAAATATTTATTTCTAAGAAAAATAACCATTGTGTTGTCATCGCGGACAACCTCTTGGTTGAATAATTTCTATATTGTGTAGTACACAAATAAAATTGTTGTACTTTAGTGCATATATGCCGTTGTGTTATCATCGCGGATAACCTCCAGGCTTTTTAATGTTACAATTAGGCATCATCACCTTCGTGTTACCATCGCGGGCAACCTCCAGGCACCTAATTTAATTAACGAATGATCGTCTAGTATTTTTTATAATTAAAATTAGACATAGTCACTTTCGTGTTACCATCTCGGGCAACCTCCCAGTTATCTAATTTTTATAAATTTTTGTGGGTAAAAATTATATATTGATAATGTACTTACTTTGTTCTGGTACTGAAGGAGATTCTGATGATCTACTTGCACCAATTAAACGTTTTTGCTTCTTTTGAATTTTCCGTATTTTCTTACTATAATAATTAATTTTTTCTTCAGCCGATCGTTTCGGCATAATTATAATATTTTAATTAAAAATAATATTAATTTACAAATATTACTAACTAAAATATTGCAATAAACGAAGTAAAAATGATAATGTACGTATGATTATTATGATATTTTAAGCTAAAAGAACACGTCCGTCCGTTGCCGCGCACGAAAAAGGAATGAAGAACGTTAGTGCTACAGAGAATAAAGAAGGTATCGTAGGGTAGACAAAAAAAAAAAAATACATTCTCTAAACCGTGCGTCACGTTGCTTGTAGGTTAAGGAAACTACCTAGTTATTATATCTGAAGAATGAAGCGACGAAATATAATTATAAAATTTGGTGTTTTGCAGGAGTTCATGATTTGCTTATAAATTGACTATTGGCTCAGATGACCTTAAAGAAATTATCAAAGGAAGAAAAACAATGAGCATAATACTAATAACCAATACTTAAAGAGGATGAATTAAGAAGTTCAATGGAGTTATAATGACGGTGACAATGGCATTGATATTCTAAAAAAGGAGCTACAGAGGTAAGGTAGACTGGGCCGTCAAGCATTAAATTGCGTATTGACGGACAGGTTGCATTAAATTGCGTTGGCTGGGCCATCAGGCATTAAATTGCGAACTGATGGACAGATTGCATTAAATTGCGTTGGCTGGGCCATCAGGCATTAAATTGCGAACTGATGGACAGATTGCATTAAATTGCGTTGGCTGGGCCATCAGGCATTAAATTGCGAACTGATGGACAGATTGCATTAAATTGCGTTGGCTGGGCCATCCGGCATTAAATTGCGAACTGATGGACAGATTGCATTAAATTGCGTTGGACTGGGCCGTCAAGCATTAAATTGCATATTGGCGGACAGGTTGCATTAAACTGCGTTGGCTGGGTCGTTAAGCATTAAATTGCGTATTATCGCCCAGTTTGTGTTAAATTGTCTTTGGCGGGGTCATCAAGCATTGTATTGTGTATTGATGAATGGTGTCCTATTCATTAAAGGTAAATTGATAGAATGTTGCATTAAATTGCGGTTGAATATAAGTAATAAAAAATTGCCAGTTTTAATGCATATTAATTATCGGAGTGAAATGGAGCGGATTCAGTAAAATATAATAAATCAAAAGTCATAGGACACAAATTAATTTTGGTCGAAAATATAATTTCTATAACTAATATAATTGACGATTGCTGGAGTACGTAGAGTCGCTGTGGTGATATATGTGGTATACGTCGATCGCTCAAAGACTGATCTGACAACCTTTCCTAATATTTTAGCACTGAATTAATGCAGGTGATAAGAGAGATAATTTTGGTACGATAAAGAATGGTTATAGTTATACCCAATTAATACTACATACTGATATCAGATGTGTAGACAGAATATAGTGGAAAGTCGTTTGCAATTGTTGATGCAACTCTTGATATAATAATAATATCCTGGTATACTACCACAGGACCCATCAATATTTTACGGAATGATAATAATAAATAGTGGGGAGTTTTGAAGAAATTCCAGATCATGTTTTAGATAATCAGTTTTCAAATGTACATGATAAAGAAAAATACTACATGTAAATAACATTGCATGAGACAGATAGAATGGAAAAAAATATAAGTATTTACCTTAAACCTACAAAATATAAAGTAGTGACTACTATGATAGAGATAGAGCTTGGAGATATTAGAAGGTATGTTAGCAGATTCAAGCTTGCCTGCATCAGATGCTGCTGATATCCCAAGCAAGCCTGCACAGGCGATTGATACCATAGTGAAGCCAACACAGGGTGCTGCTGCCGGACCTGTGCGCTCTAAGCGTATTATGAAGGCGAAGCCATAGATTAAGATATGTATAGTTATACCTTTATTTCCAGTATTATTTTTATTTTTACTTCACCCACTTTAATTTTTGTTTTATTAATTATCGTAATGTAAAATTTGTTTTCTCAGGTAATTGTCATTTAATGTAAATCATAGTTCTTTCAGTCACTCCATGACAGTGACAGCGACAGTTACGTAAAGACACATCTATGATAGACTATGAAAACACTGTCACTTGTCATTTGAACATAATCTTGTTTTTCATTTTTGTGTAACTGGATACTTGCCTTATTTATTTTGTGAATTTATGTGAGATAAGGTCAAATCGATTTCTAATCATTATAATAACATTCTTGTTTTTGATTTCTTTTAAAAAGTTGTTATAGTATTCGATAACGTAAATTGTGAACTTGTGCTAATATTATTGTTAATTTTGAGTTTTTGTCAGCAGTTGGCCGGCGGTTTGTGCATTGCAACATTGTCGGTGTAACGGTTACGTTTTATTTATTTTTAGATATATATATATACATATTGTAGGATATATATATATATAAATATCCCCTTGGGCACTTTGTGGCTCAGACGTGCCGTATAGGTAGTTTTTTGTTGATCCTTTTTCACTTGTTGATCCGGAGGCCTTTTGTTGATCTAATGCCAGATGACCATATATAAATGTTGATCCGTTTTGAGCCACAACTGTCACGACGAGTAATAATAATAATTAAGCGATTTATACACGATTTTATACAAATCCACCTTTTTGGCATACGAGCAGTTCTTGATCCAATTCAAACGGGCCAATCAGGGTGCAGCATTTGCCAAGGGCTTCCTCATTGGCACGTTTGGGCTACTACATTATGGCTACAGTAACTTAATAATGTCTAGCTAGTATTTCAAAAATAATAGTCTACCTAATCTAAATATTTATAGAAATCAGTCTGGAGTAACGTGACTCCAGATCAAACCTCAATACTTGTTATTTTTTGGATGGGAATCTTTTCTTTTGTAACAACGTTACTGAGCGAATAAAGAGAAGACGCAACGGCGGATCCAGGGGGGAGCGTCATGGAGGTCATGGGAGTCATGGGGGCGTCATGACTCTCCCCCCCTTAGCCCAGAACTTAGGTAGACCACTAATTGAACTAAAAAATAATGAAACAGCAAATTTTTTTGCACGATCGGAGTGTTGGTGCAGTAGTATTAATTATAATTAAACATTGTTACTTAAAACATAACAGTTAAAGTACTATAACACTAAAAGCAAAATAGGTATTTTCAAAATACTTTTTCAAAATAAATTACCCTTTGAGTTTTTGTTCAAACCTCAGATATTATATTTATTTTAGGTATATCAATCAATACATAGTATAGCATAGTACAGTCTGTCTGTCTGTCTGTTTGTTCCGGCTAATCTCTGAAATAGCTGGACCGATTTTGACGGGACTTTTTTTGGCAAGTAGCTGATGTAATAAGGAGTAACTTACGCTACTGTTATTTTAGAAAAATAAAATAAAATTTCACGCGGACGAAGTCGCTGGGGCCAGCTAGTCTATAGATATACCGAGATTTAATGTTTAAGTTGCTATTATGTTATTGACAAAATTTTACTGTAATGTTACTATTACGTTATCCTACACAATTTGTATTATTTTGGATGAATAAATAAATAAATAAATAAATAATAATCTATACATCTATACATTTAATAAAAATTGGAGTGTCTGTTTGTAATATTGAAAAAACCGTTTTTTACTACATGCATATGAATATATATAAGGTACATATACCAAAATAACTATTTTTATAATTTTAGTCTGTCTGTCTGTCTGTCTGTTTGTTCCGGCTAATCTCTGAAATGGCTGGACCGATTTTGACGGTACTTTTTTTTGGCAGGTAGCTGATTTATAAGGAGTAACTTAGTTACTTTTATTTTAGAAAAATAAAGTTAAATTCCACGCGGACGAAGTCGCGGGAACACCTTGTTTTTAATAAAAACATCTTTTTTGTGGTACTTGAGAATGTTGAAGCCTGTTGTTTGTAATATTGAAATAACCGTTTTTTACTACTTGCATATGAATATAAATACGGTACATACACCAAAATAACATATTTTACAATTTTTGTCTGTCTGTCTGTTTGTTCCGGCTAATCTCTGAAATGGCTGGACCGATTTTGACGGGACTTTTTTTGGCAGGTAGCTGATGTAATAAGGAGTAACTTAGGCTACTTTTATTTTAGAAAAATAAAGTTAAAAACCACGTGGACGAAGTCGCGGGAACAGCTAGTGTATAATATATTAGAGATACCTACGTGTTTTTTTATTGATGACTAGCTGTACACGGGATTTCGTCCGTGTTGAATTTAACTTTATTTTTCTAAAATATAAGAAGTTAAATTCCACGCGGACGAAGTCGCGTGTACAGCTAGTTGTCGGTAGTCTAGCGATTTAGCTAGCACACTGCTTTGATTCCTGCTTGGTGGTCGAGGGTTCGATTCCTCGCACGCTGCAAACATTTGTATTCATGAGTATGATTGTTTGTAACGGTCTGGGTGTTTTCTATGTATAGATAATATATATGTATTTACGAAAAAAAATCTTTGTATTTATATCAGTACCCATAACATAATCTTCAGCTAGCTTAACTTTGGTCTAGATGAAGCTGTGTGAATTGTCCTGAGATTACTATTATTACTATAATAAATCTTTTCAAATCAGCCGATGTTTATTTTTGCCATAATACGTGCTGTTACCATGTGATAATATTACGTACGTACTTATTAAACTATTAACTTATTATTAAATTATTAACTATTTATACTGTTTTAAATGTGATGCGTTCATTATTTATATTTCCTTTGAATTAAAGACAAATGTATATATATATATATATTTATATACACTTGCACACTTAGTTGATCCAGCCACGATCCGTAGATATTGCTGATCCACTGTCTCTCTCTTTCTATCACTATCTTTGTATTCTAATATGCGATGTTGCCGTTCCGGCCGAGACCATGCGTTGTTGCCAAATGTATTCGTCGATAGTAGTAGATACTTATACTCGATATATATTTTTTCAACAATTTCCTGCAATAGTGAATCCGTATCGGCATTTTTTTTAAACGCACAAAGATTTTTTGGCTCTGAATATATTTAAAAATCATTTACTTGTGTGTTGATGAATTTTGAATATACTA